ACAGACAGACAGACAGACAGACAGACAGACAGACAGACAGACAGACAGACAGACATAGAGAGAGAGAGAGAAGAGAAAGAGATAGATCTTCATTTGTTTGGACATGGGCCCTTGACCCTAACCTCTCCTCCCCCTACCACCACCACCCCCTCCCTTTGCCCACCTCCCCCTACCTTCCTTCCCCCAGGGTGGTAGAGTTCAAGGACGTTCTGGCCAAAGACTACGTGACCATCAGCTACGTGTGTGCCACCAGGCTGCGGGAGGGCATGAGGATGGAGCACATGACGCTGGACCAGTGGACCAGGGAGGTGGAATACTTCAGGACGCTGCACCAGGTCAGCTGGCATTTGTGAAGACGCTAGATATCTTATTGTTTTGTGTTGTTGGTGTTTGTTATATTTATTTAACATACTTATGTCACGTGTAAGGAGGTGGAATACTTCAGGACGCTGCACCAGGTCAGCTGGCATCGTGAAAGCGCGAGATATATAAGGTAAGATAAGATAAGATAATACTTTATTATCCCACAGGGAAATTGGTGTTGGTTGTACAGGACCGTAAAAACATATGAAGGTATACATTCTTTAAAAAAGTGGAATCATATATTACTCTCATATATAAAGAATCATGAGTTGTTGGTGTTTGTTATGTTTCTACATTATATACACATTCACATAATTAATTGCACATATTTATGTTATGCATAATCAAATTAATGAATATATAATATATATATAAGGAGGTGGTCTACTTCAGGACGCTGCACCAGGTCGTATCTCACTGCAGAAGCGCGAGAGATATGACATTATGTGTTGTTGGTGTTTATTATGTTTCTATATAAAGAACATTCACATAATTTATTGTACATATTTATGTTACGTATAAGGAGGGGGACGACTTCAGGACGCTGCACCAGGTCATATCTCACTGCAGAGGCGCGAGATAGATATCTATAACATTATGTGATGTTGGTGTTAGTTATGTTTCTACATTAGAAGCATTCACATAATTGATTGAATATATTTATATTACGCCTAATCAAATTGGGAATAAGTATATAAAATATATATATACATAAGGAGGTGGACTACTTCAGGTCGCAGCATCAGATAAGCTCGGATCGTATTGTGCGTTATTGTTTTTCTATATCAAAATCATACACATAATTAAATTTAACATGCATTATTGCTATATTATTATGTAATAGATTAAATGAATGGACATATAATACACACACCATACACACACACACAGCGCACGCGCGCACGCACGTGCACGCACGCGCGCACACACACACACACACACACACA